GGTTTCAAGCCAACGAATCATCTCGCCAAGCACTGAGAGATTGGGGACGTTCTCTGGCCGGTTCGTGGTCAGCTGTTCCGGAGAAAACGCGAAATGTGTACGTGCTCGCGTCGACTTGTACTTGCATCACGTCGACTGCGCCACATTCTCGACTACAGCCAGGAGCTCCCCAATCAATATCCGTCGCGCACGGTATCGCGGGTGTTGATTGTATTCGGAGCGGGAGGAGAACTCTATAGTTTCCGGATGAGGCAGGAAGGAAAAACTGTCACGATTCCCGCAGTGACAATCCGGGAGACAGAGATGGCTGGAACGCTCCGAACCGGGAGCAAGCGGAAACGGGCCGCGGGACCCCGAGGTCCCGCGGCCAGATCATCTCGGGACCCCAAAAACAGCCCGCGGTACAAAAAGGTTCCGCGGAACCCATTTTGAGGACCACTGACTCTAACCCCATCTTCTCTCAACCACAAACGGAGCGGAATGATAAAACGAATGGGGAATTGTTTTTTTCTTTCGTCTTCCGACGCACAAGAATTGCACCAAGCCTCACCACATGAAAAGCGGACAACGCCACCGGACGTGCAGGGGAGAATGGCGTGCATTCGAAATCGAACGTCGAACATCATGAAGATGTCCTTCCGACTATCAACAAGCAGATCGTCGATCCAATCCGAGCCTGCAGCCCATCACCAAGTTCAAAAAGTTTCTTCATTCATCACGGATCATTCTCATCGCCGTCACTATCAGAGCGGCTGTTAGAAATAGGGATTTCAATTAGATAACAAGGCTCTGAGCCCCTTAGCTTAGAGCAGCGGTGGCCAAATGGGGGTCCGCGGACCACTGGTGGTCCGCGACCTATATTTTGGTGGTCCGCGGAGCATTCTGTCCAGTTTACACCAGAGGGAGCTTATCTGACACGAGCACAGCCCATGACTTTCGCGGCGGAATCTGCACAGCCCTATGTGCGTCAGTCATGAGACGGCCGCGCGTGCTGCTGAAGGCGCATTGGATACGAGACGTGATTGTGTATGTACCTGTGCTCTGCGTGTCGAAGTTTCACACACCACACGCCGAGCGAGCAGATGATTCCGTCTCGATTTGGAACGTCCGTTCCTAAATATTTGTGCTTGGGTATCGCGCACATGGGTTCAGTCGAATGTGTACGCGCCGCGGACTGTTCGATCGAGAGTGAGCTCGAGCCTGGCTTCTAGCCTTGTTTCCGGAAGGCGTCACCCAAGTTCATTGAAGAATCCCCAGCAGTTTCCTCGGAATGGGCGGGAAGAGTCAGGCCAGAATCCAGAGCTTCTTCAGGAAGCGAAAACACGTTTCCGCGGACGCCGATGACAACCCATCTTTTGGAGAGCTAGCCACTGAAGGGGAAGTACGATATCCTGTTATTGACTTGGAGGAAGAGGCCATGCCGTTAATTGAGTCGGAGATACAGATATCTGGGACCTCGAACTTCTCTCCGGTCAGGATAGGTGGCAGAATAGCGGCATCGGGGAGGCCGAAAAAGCAGTACAAACGCACGCGGAAGTACGATGCGAGCTATCTCAGATTCGGATTCATTCAAGAGCCCGGTAGCGAATTCGAGCCTAGGCCGCTGTGCATTGTTTGTTCGGAGTGCCTATCGAATGAAGGAATGAAGCCGTCCAAACTTCAGAGGCACCGAGATTTGAAACATCCCGATCTGGCTTGCAAACCGTTGGAGTACTTTCAGAGAATGCGAGACGAACTCAAGCAGCAACAGAATTCAATGAGAAATATGACCCTTGGTGACAATAACTCCCAGATGAGAGCCTCGTATCTGATATCGCTCGAAATCGCGAAGAACAAGAAAGCATACGTCATCGGCGAGGAATTGATAAAACCATGCATCCTACTGGCGAGTCAGGAGGTGATCGGACACGACGCTTACCAGAAACTCAGAGGTATCTCCCTGTCGCGCAACACGGTGAAACGGAGAGTCGAGCACATGGCCGATAACATCCAAGATCAAATTATCGATTTGGTCAAGAAGTCGACATTCTACTCGATCCAGATCGACGAGTCAACAGATCTGACGAATAAAGCCGTATTGGTCTGTTTCGTCAAGGTCGAACACGACGGAGAACTCTTGGAGGAACTTCTCTGCTCTGTGGAACTGCCGGGTCGGACAACTGGCTCCGAAATATTCCGAGTCCTTGACGGCTTTTTCGAAGATCATAGCATACCGTGGAAGAACTGCATTGGGGTATGCACGGACGGAGCCGCTAATATGACAGGACGTCTGATGGGTTTCACAGCAAGAGTCAAGAAGGTCGGACACCCCAACTTGCTGAGCACCCATTGCATCATACATAGGGAACAACTGGTTGCGAAACGACTCTCTCCACAATTGCACAGCGTTTTGTCTGATGTGGTCCGCATTGTGAACGAGATTCGTTGCAAACCATTGAATTCGCGTATCTTCGAAGCTCTCTGTGAGGAAATGGGTTCTCAGTTTTCCCATCTCCTCTTGCATGCAGAAGTCAGGTGGTTGTCTCGTGGGAGAGTTCTCAATCGACTTCTTTCTTTGTTGCAAGAAGTTAAGGTATTTTTCCAGCAGCAGAACAATTCGACGTTCCTTGCTATCATGTCCGATGTAGATTGGAAAGCCAAACTATCATACTTGGCCGATATTTTCTCTCATTTGAATGAGCTGAATTTATCCTTACAAGGGAAGCATTGCGATATGTTCACGCTGCGAGCGAAGATTGACGGCTTCCGTAAAAAACTAGTTCTTTGGCACGCCGCAGTCTCAGAGAAAGATTTTCCGATGTTTCCTAATTTCGATGAGTTCTCGAAGCAGAATCACCTCAGCGAGGGAGTGGTCGTAATCGTCCGGGAGCATTTACAAACCCTCATGGATTTGTTCGGTAAATACTACCCGGAGCAAGAAGATCCCAGAAATGGCAGTCTCTGGATTCTGGATCCGTTCACCGCGAAAATTGACGACACGAATTTGTGCATGAAAGGGAAAGAAAGCTTGCTGGATCTCGCTTCAGATGCGAGCCTGCAGATGAAGTTCCACGCTTCGTTGTCGAGAGCTCATTTTTGGCTCGGAGTTGGACAAGAATACCCGATGCTGAGCGCGGAAGCGATGAAGATTTTGGTGCAATTCTCCACAACTTACCTCTGCGAGAAAACGTTTTCATCTGTCACTGCCATCAAGACTAGATATCGGACTTCCCTCGAGATGCACGCGGAACTTCGACTAGGAGTTACGAATCTAGCGCCTCAGATCGACGCGATCTTGTCGTCGAAGCAAGCACAGGTATCGCACTAATTCTATTTATACACGTTAACGTAGGTTGCGTGAACGTTCTTAATTGTTTTCGAACTCGGAGTCCATGGAGATTGTGAAAACTCCTGCGCAGCTCCTCTTTGCTATCTCTATCATGCTTGTATTTCGAAGAGGTGAAATATCTGGTGCTATGAAGATAAATTAAGTGCATTCTTGATGTATTCTGGCCCCCTTCTTCTCGCGTTCTGATTTTAAAACGGGTGACCTAAATTTTGGTGGTCCGCGGGGTCCGTCGCCATGACTTTGGTGGTCCGCGGGACGAAAAAGGTTGGCCACCCCTG